TCCCTTTTTTTTTAATGAGTAGAAATTGCTTGTTGTTTGAGTTCATCTGTGCTGAGACCAAAACCCCGCGGCGTTCCCAGGGAGGAGTAGCCGGCTTGGGTTTGAACCTGTCAGATTCACCAGTGCTTGTGAGCTGCTCCTCGACTTGGGAGTTCAGGGCTGAAGCAGAGCCTGCACCGTAGGAGAACTTCCATCTGGAGAGCAGCACGCATATAGTCTGCGTGATGGGTTTTACGGAGGTGAGAGCGGGGCCGCTGCTGCCTGGTAGGCGTTGACAGAATGTGGACTGGATCTGTGGTGGGGAGACCACCTGTGGCTGTTGAGCGCAGTGGTGGCAGCCCCTCAGTATGAGGATGACAGAGGTAATCATAGGTTATTAAGGCAGAAAGGATTGTTGTGATCATTTTCTGACCACTAGCATTACCCAGACCGTAGGGCTTCCTTGCATCAATGCCTGCTTCAGGTCCAGGAGTTTCAGTGGAATTAGGTCGTTCCTGTTAGAGACATGCCCAGTCTTGATTTAAACACTTCTACTGATGAAAAATCAGCCACAACCTTTGGTAAGATGTTCCAGTAATTAATTATCCGAACTCTTAAAAAAAAAGGTGCCTTCCTTCTAATTTGGATTTGTCTAGCTTCAGTTTCTAACCATCAGGTCTTGTTATAATTTTATCTGCCAGATTGAAGAGACCTTTATTATCAGATTTCTGTTCCCCACGTAGGTGATTACTGTGGGCGAGCAAACACTTGATACTTTCTTTTTGATAATCAAGATAATTTGAAATCCTGGAGTTCTAGCTCTAAGGCATACTATCCCATCTTTTCATCATTTGTACGGCTATTCTTTGACTCCTTTCCAACTGAACAGTATCCTTCTTGAAGTACGGATACCAGAACTTTTTGCAATGCTAAATACAGAAATAATATAACTTTTTTACTCCTACTTGACATTCCCCTGTTGATATGTCTGAGAATGGCATTAGGGCCCCTGTCAGATTTGCACATTTATAGTGCAAATAAATGTGTTAATCACACCATAAATGGTACACATTCAGCCAATTAATGATACCATAAAATGCCAAAACAACCACAAAGACATTCTGTATATAATATACTGCATCTTTGTGGCTGGTTTGTATGGACCCTTAAATTGAACGTGTGGCATGCCCTTAGGTTCAGCTGGCCGTACATTATAATGCCCAAGTTTCTTTAATCTTCCTAGATGAGGTGACTGCCTTGTCTCTTTTGCGTCAGCATTTAGGCAGATTTAACCTAGGTCACAGCTGGAGAAACTTTAAAAATATAGGAGACCCTTGCCATTTGCGGGGGATACATTCTCGAGATTCCTGTGAATACTGCACTGTACCGATAATTGGCTAGGATAAATAGGCTGGAGACAATAATTGTGCTAACTAGCATTTTATTCCAACTCTACTTGAACTCAAAAGTAATAAAACCCTTAGCTGATCGCTAATCAGCTGATCGCTAATCTCCCTAATATTTCTTGAACTCGCTCCCTCGCTCCTCGCTCTCTGTCTCGTAAGCGGCAGTGGTGGTGGCCAAAGGACTTGAGAGGGTTGACAGGGAAGGGTTTGCAAAGGAACATTGTGATGGGAAGCTGTTCAGCCTTTTTCTATAGGTCCTTATAAATTTCTCGGTAAGGCATCATTGCAGCTTCAGTTTCCCTCTTAACCTTCAGACTCCGTTCCATAGAGGGATCATATTCAAACATTTTGTCAGTGAGTTGTTTGTTGTATCTGAAGAGCTTGGCCAGTGTTCCTAATATGAAGTCAGGTCTTTCTGTCTCTTCATTTTCATCATCTTCATCTTCACTGTTTGTCATGAGTTCTGCTAGGTCCTCATCAGTCAGTTCCTCGGTGTGCAACTCAATCAGTTCTCCAACCTCCAATTCCTCCATATCCTCAAAACCTGCCCCTCCAAAGTCATGGGCCATTCTCGCAATCCTTTTGATCTCCTCACCGACAGATGGGAGACCAGTGAAATCATTGACTGCTTCTTCCACAACTCCCTCCAACAGACGTTGATGGTTGATGGCTTTATTTCATTGATCGTCTCCTTTATGCTAGTGATGCAGTTAGTGATGTTGTAGTCTTTCCAGCATTTCCTAACATCAAGTGTTTGATCACCTTCCAGTGCATTACAGATTTGACCAAAGGTGCGCCTGGTGTAATAAGCTTTGAAAGGAGCAATCATGCCTGGTTGAGAGGCTGAACGAGGGAAGTTGTGTTCGGCGGTAGGAAAACCACTTCCACATCCGGGTGGGCAAACTGCAGACTTTGTGGGTGGCCTGGCACATTGTCCAAGATGAGTAGCACTTTGACGGGCAGCCTTTTGGGGTCTAGGTATTTTTCTACCTGTCAGATGAAACAGTTGGGGAACCAGTCCAAAAATAAATCAGCCGTGACCCAGATCCTCCTGTTAGACTGCCAAAAAACCACAAGCTGTGCTTACTCTTGCCCTTTATTGCCCTAGGGTTCAATGTGCGGTCCAGCAACATAGGTTTCACCATGCAGTGACAAAATGCGTCTCTCTGGCTTTAGAGTTATTTCTGCATTTTACAGCAGGTTTGGTGTGGGCTGCTGTTCAGTGGTAGTGAAACTTATCTGTCCCTTCTTTGAAGCTGTGCAAACTGAAGGTTGGGTTAGAATTGGGAGTGCTCAGAGTCTAATCCCACCCCAGCTTCTGTCTGTTGGTCCCAGATTATAGACAATTGCCCACCATTATGGCATCCGAGCTCTAAGAGGTGCTAGGTGAATGTTTCCTTTTATCTAGAAAGAGAATATTTTCTACCATATCTCACAGGGGTATTAAGTTGAATGAGCTACTATTTCTGCACTGTCTTTCATGTGCACCACATTATGTACATTTGGAATATTAAAGCTTTAGAGCATGCGTGTGTGCTGGGTAAGCTTCTGAAGAATAGCAGCAATTGGAGTGAGTTTTCTGCATGGCCACTTGCCCTCCAAAGATTTAATCAAGTTCCTATTGATAGAGACCAGGTCTCTAGAGTACTGCCCAAGTTTATATGTTAGGAGCCTCTTGTTCTCTTTGTAGTTGATGGATAATTTGGTGTTGAGCTAAAAGGAAGGAGAGTTGATATGTAAGCATCAGATTTTCCTGGGGGTGCTGTGGTACATGCAATTTTTTTTTTAAATTTGTGGGTAGCCCATTACTCTTTTATTTTTAAGTATGTGGACTGTTAGTTATCTGTGCACAAACTCCAAAGATACTAGTCCTGCATGTAATTCAGACGCTTGACAATGCAAAGAGGCACTGTCCCTAGGAAGGAACTGCTTCTCTTTTCTGAGCTGCATTGAATTTTTAATGCCTTGATATGGGACATCCACAGGCTTCCCCTAGGGAGGTGTATGGGGCAGCAGCCTTTTATTATCTTTCCTCCTATTTAGGGGTAGAGGAGAATTAAAAAAAAGAAAAAAAGAAAAAATGATTCCAATAACTATTCTAAACACTAGCCACAAACCAAGCCACACCCTGTTGAGATGCCAGACTGAGATATCCTTGATAATTTTCCTTCTTTCTTGATTGCTTTGATCAGCAGTGAAGGAGGAAACCATTTTGCTTTTTGAACCATGATAAATGATCAAAATGAACACCCTGTTGAAGTGACACTGGGAAGTTGGATCTACTGTTTGGGGCTGTTGGTGGATCCAGGTGTATGATATTGTGTTGGTTTATTTCAAAGGTTTCTGCTTTCATTGAGGAAGCATTTGAGACCAGACAGCTGAATCTAAACATGTCCATTCTTTTTTTTTCCAGCATTGATTCAAATAAAAGAATTTTCCATAGCATGGAGTGGGCTGAAAGTCATATGAGACAAACATCTTATAATTTCCTGTTGAAGAAATTCTTCAGATACTATCCAGGACTTTAATTCTTAGTTATAGTCTTTTACATGGTCTTTTAAGCATTTAAATGATCAGCCTAGAGCTGCAGGGCTGCTAACACATAGGCACTCTGTTTTAATCCTTGTTAAAGTAACTGTGAGAGAGTGTTGGCATGATCAGTTTTTTCATTTCCTGTAGCATGTCTAGTCTGAGAATCACATTCATCCTGTGGATGTAGGATGGACACATGTATTATCCACCTGGATGCAGCCAATGCTGGTCTATTCCTACATGCTTTATTCAGGCAAGCCTCTCATTACTGTCACTTTTGATATCAATGGTACTTTTGCATAAGGAAGAGAAAATCAGACCCTGAGTTTGATGTGATTTGGAGCAGTTACATTTTTTTTTTCACATAACCAAAATATTTCTTTGGGATTTTTTATTTTCAATATAGTCCTTTTGATTTTAGTTTGTACTTTAAAGGAAAAAAAAATCCTCTGGTTATTACTAATAGCCGTGCATATTGCTAGAGTGGAGAGGTTTTTTTAGAATCGGTTTTACTTTTCATCACTTATTATGTTGTTTGGGGGCTGTTTGCATTTGCCCAGCCTCCGATGATAAATATCAGCATTGTCTGAAGTAAATGAAAGAAACTGGCTCCAGCATTGCTGTGAAATTTCACTGTCGCAGTTGTCTCTAATCAAGACATGTCCCTAGGCTAGTCAATTTCATTTTATTTGTCAGTTTCACTTTTTGGTTCCTGTGGACTCTCGTGCCCAGACTGCTACGTGTTGTTTGTTCCTAACATTGCAGAGGAATGCTAAGATCTCCTGACAAGCCATGTTTGTTCATATTAAATTTTAACAACCATTCCCATTCGGCCAACTCCTATGTCTCATTTTAAAGCTGGCACATAAATGTAGGTCTGGTTCATATTCTAAAATATGCATTAGTGTAATTAAATTTAAGATCAGTAAGATGGATTTCTTTTAAACCAGTTTTAATCATACGTAAGGCAACTGTGCTTTCAGTTTGGGTAGAAGTGTCTCTTTCAAGGAAAGCGTTTGCAGATTTTTATACATGGAATAAATGGGATACTGTTTTGTGTGCCTGTTTTCTCTCTTACTGTAGGTTCAGGATACATTGCATCTGTTGGATGCTGTGACTAAGATGACTTCATGAAGCTGAGCATCCCTGATTGCTGCCTGATCCATGGCTCATAATTTCAGGAGCTGATAGGTAGTAAACCCTTATTAAAAGATGCCCAGCGAGACGCTTCAAAGCAGCAGCGAGGTGGAGGAAGCGGTGCAGAGAGAGAAGGGTGGAACACACAGCCCTCACCGAGGCTCCCTGCGGAGAGCCGTGGCTACCGCAGTCACCTTTGATGGAGAGGCCACCATGGACAGAAGGAAAAAGAAAAAGAAGGAGCCCCGCCCAGAGTCCATAATAGTTTATCGCTCAGAGAATGAAAATAAAGTGGAAGAAGAGCAGGCAGATGAAGAAGGAGGCGAGAGGAGTTCAGAGGAGGGCTCCAAGTTCTTAGGAAATCCCATAGCAGATGGTACGTATGGCCAGGGCCTGCAGCTGGGGGCTGCTTTTTGGGGGTCACAGGGCCAATGAAAAATAAGATGTATGGATCAGCAGAAAAAGAAGGGCCCTGGCTCTTGCTTGTAGCATTTTAAGTGAAGGGAAGGACAGAAATTTTGGAAGCACATCTGTTCCTGTTTAGCAAAATCCACTTTGAATATCTATTCCACAGTTAGAGTTATGCAGGAAGAGTTCTGTTTAGAGACCAACTCCTTAGACTTAACCTGCTCAGTCTCTGAATTTGGTTGACAGCATATAAGACAGTGAGTGTAACGAGTATATGGAGGGGATCAGAAGGAAGTGTAACATACACCATCTTAGACCACCTCTGACTCTTTCCACTCTCTCTTTCCCTTACCTTCCTCTGGTCCACTAGCCGCTGTCCCCTGCCTTCCCTCCACATCCTCACCAGTACAGGTGCCTGAGTCTTCCCTGCAGTTTCTGTCAATCAGAACAGCACCTCTGTATATTGTCACCCCACTGACTTTCCCTCCATTTCCCTCTGTGATTTCTTGCCTGAATTGCACAGTTTTCTTGCCCATTTTTTAAAAACTTAGTATTGTTTTAATTCCTTAACCTGTGTTATCTAGTTTTGTACAATGTCCTTGGGGATTTTTGTGATGTGCCTTGCATAAAGATAAGATTAGATAGAATAATGATGCAACTTCTCTGTAATTGTAGGTGTCTGGAGCATGCCCTTAGACAGCCGATATGTCACCTTAACTGGAACCATCACAAGGGGGAAGAAAAAGGGCCAAATGGTGGACATCCATGTCACTCTAACAGACAAAGAGCTACAGGAACTGGCTAAGTCGAAGGAACCTCCCAAAGATGAAACCCCTGAGGGGAAAAAGACTTGCGATGTTGCGGTGGACAGAGGTCCCCATGTCCTCCTTTGGAGCATTGTCTGCCTTCCTATCATCTTTGTAGTGTCCTTTGTGATTTCATTTTACTATGGGACCATCACTTGGTACAACATATTCCTGGTATACAATGAAGAGAGAACCTTCTGGCACAAGATCACCTTCTGCCCCTTTCTGATCATCTTCTACCCAATTATCATCATGGCTGTATCATTTTCCCTAGGCCTATACACAGCGGTGACACAGGTTGCCTGGTCCTTTGGAGACTGGTGGCATGCTGTGAGAGATATGGAGAAAGGGTTTTGTGGCTGGCTGTGTAGCAAACTGGGCCTTGAAGACTGCTCCCCATACAGCATAGTTGAGCTACTAGATTCTGACAATGTCTCAGGTAGCCTCTCTGGCAAGGGCTCTGCGCAGGGTGTTGAGACCTCAGCAGTCTGAGCCTTTGGTCTTGGCTGACTCTCTGACTCGGTTGTTTGAGTGTATTGCAACTGATCCCCCAGGCAAATAACTACACTGACTTGTTATATTTTAGCAAACACTTAAAGGATAGTATTTGGGTGATGGGTGGGCAGGGTGGGTGTCTTACATGCGCACAGAGCGCCCATGCGCTGGATGAGATGGCATTTGTTGTGAGATGAATGTGCATGGTGATGCCCTAAGGCTGCTGATTTGTTTAGTGTTAGGTTTTAGCTTTGCATAGCTGGGAGAAGTTCCAGGTCTGTTGGGTAGGAGTGGGAACTTGGATGTATGTGGCTGAAGTGTGCCAAAAATTCCCAGCTTTACAAAATGCTATTTTTTAACTTGTAGGATAAAACATCCAGGTGAACATAGACCTAGCTAAAGAAGTCTGAACTTGGGTCAGGGCTGGTGCCCAACTCCTGCTGAAGTCTGTGAGGACTTTGCTCATATGATCTAGGGGCTAAATTGCAAAGTGTGTGACTTCACAGAAGTTTTCTTAGATACAGATACTCTGGGAAAAGTATTTCAGTAGTTCAGGCAAACGTAGCAAAGCTGCCGTCTGTTTGGGATGTAAGCAGAAGTCCAAGCTGTGCCAGAAGTTTCCGTCTTTCTTAATCCTCCTATTGCAACCTCAGAAAGAAGCTGTTTGCCTGAGCAAAGATCAGCAGCTTACACTTGTGAATGCAGCATATGGGTCATGCGAGCACATATACTGGTATTTCCAGTTGCACAGTTGACAGCTCCTGAGGAGAGCAAATCTTGCTATAATGGTACGAGGCAGTAGAGTGGTCTTGCTGCCCTTATCAGACAGTGAATCTCCCCCTAGGGACTGGGTAGTCCTGAGTCTGTGTCTTTCAGTGCTAGTGCAAAATGCATTAGTGTCTTAGCTCAGGAACTCCCTCCTGATTTCCTGGCTCCATAGAGTTAGTTATAGTCAACAGTGATGGATTTCAGCCATCGTGTAATTTCTACCACATATCCTTACATTTCAGTGTCATAATGGTTTTTCCTTCTGTGGGGATCCTTCTTGGCATGGAGTGGACTCTGAAACCGAGACTGAGGTTGTCATCACATCCTGGAAGAACTTAAGAATGCTGACACAGGAATTCCTCTCTGACTGTCAGATTTTGGACTGGGAAGCCAACATGAGAGCATGCAGGAGGAGGTTTGATTGAGTGTGTTGGGTTGAATTTCAGGGTGCCTGAAAAGTGATTCATTTTTCCAGCTCTCTGCACCTGTGAACTTTGTGAGTAAAGGTGAGTAAAGCGTCCTGGAGTAGAGTCCAGTGCTTCATCATCCCCAAATTATGCACATCAAAGGCTGCAGCACAGCACTCATCATTCTCAGTGCCCTGTTCCTAACCAGGAAGGGCCTATCAGTCACATGCACGTGGACCAGTGAGTCATAGCCAGAGCGCAGTCCATTTGACGTTATGGCCTTTCTGGGCACATGCACTTTGCCTCTCCCCCTGTGCTGCAGGCTAAATTATCTGTTCCAGTGTTCAGGCTGCCAAAAGCATGGTACTAATACAGTAGATTAAGCTGGGACCTGGGATTTTCCCAATGTAGGACCCTGGCTTATTTAAAAACTGTGTCTGTGTGGGGCGGGGGTGTGCGTGCACACACATGCTTGGACTGTCTTCTTCACCTGCAGTTTGCTGGTTAGCACTGGTGATGGGGTGGATTGATTGAAGGAAGCATCTTGTTTGGGATACAGCTGCACTGACAGCTCAGCGCTCACTCTAGCCTTACCTTTGTCCAGAGTCTGGTGTGCAGAGGACTGAACAAAAGGCAACCCATTGGCTGCTGGGCACACAGCAAAGCCAGATCTTTGCCAGAAAAAGAGATGACAAAATCCTTGGGGCAAGGAGATGAAAGGCTTTCCTCAGGCAGAACTCCTTAGACTTCATGAACAGCTTTCTCTGAGAAAACGTCTTTGCCACTTCTCCCTTCAGACTAAATAGCTTTTTACTCCTGAAGCTGTTAAAGGCAACCTCTGTAGTTGTAACGAACAATGGGATTTTGACTTAAGCTTGTGTCTTGTGGGGTGAGGGGAGTAAGGAAAAATGCAGCTGACTCCTTGAACTTCCTGTATAAAAAGTTACCGTTGTCTAAACTGTTCAGGATGCACATCAGGGTTTGTCCGCACGGTGCCATGTAGAGATAGATGATAGAGTTAGCTCTGAGCACAGCAGTGGTAACTAGCTTGGGCAGAGTGCCATGGTAATGTAGCTCCTGATTCCCAGGTTAGCTCATTCAGAGCTTGCTCAGCTGTCATGGAAAGGTACAGCATTGCCATGGCTTTACCTGATACCAAGAAAGCCGCTAAGCATTTGGGAAGGTAAGCTTTAGATGTCTGTGTTGCTGGTTTGCTTTGTTTTTAAATCTTGGTGGAAAGTTCTGCTATGGAATGAATGCCTCACAAATGTGAAGTACTTTTGCCTTCTCAACAGGGCAAGAAACTCTGAACTAAAGACCATCTGAAGAAGCACAGCTCCTTCCAGTGTGTTGCTGTTTGGCTTTAGCCTTTTGGCCAAGGCTCTCAAAACACTTGGGATCCTTATTTGCTGAATACTTGCATCACCACTCACAAGTGGTAGAAATATTCCTGTTTCATAGGATGTGTCTACACGTTCCTTCATGCACCATAATTATGGCACATTAAGTTTAGTACCTGTAATAACAGGTGCTAACTTAATGCGCTGTAAATTGATGCTACTGTGCATTAGCGCAGATGAATGCTTTTTAGGTAACACTTAATGCCCATTGCACTAAAACTACTGTACGTTAGTGCAGATAAACACTTTTTGTGTGACACTTAATGCTCATTGAACTAATCTACTGTACATTAGCATGGTTTTTGTCAGCTGTGCTCATGCACGGTAGAAATAGTCCAATGGGCATTAAGCATCTCGTGTAGACACGCTCATAGATGGGGAAACTAGTACACAGCAAACAAGCAACTTGCTAGAGATTACTGAATAGAAACACAAGTCTGGCTGCTTGAGCATTGCCTAATGCCCCAGTCTTATTTTCACCTGGTGCTGAAAGGCAGTGAATCATCTCTTGGCAGAGGGAATAACAGTTTGAGCTGATAGCAGATAAATTGCTGTGAGTGGCAAAGAAAACAGAAGACTCGTAGCACGTCAGGCAAATGTGGAGCTTTCTGCAAAGCTGTTATTTTGCAGTCCTTCTCTTAGGGACCTGACCTGAGGCCCTCTCTCCTCTTCCTCCTCCTCCTTCAATAGGAAACACAGGTTGTGAGGGGCTTCAGCTTTGGCTGCCTGTGAACCGATCCAAGGTTCTGAACTGCTCAAAAATCCTGCATTTGGAAATGGCAGGTGCCCGCGTGGCTGGGGTGGAGGAAGAGCTTAAATTTGATGAAGTGGGAGGAAGCATCCAAAGGCACGCCACTCGCCACTACCACACACACACGCTCTTCTGCCTTGTGGGTCGCTGCCAGCTTCTTTGCAAATAGAGGAATATCATTGCCTCATTTACCTTGGATCTGATGTATATAGTTTGCGGTAAGTGTGGTGGGGAGGGAAGGAGGACAAGTGAGGATCTTTGTTGAGAAGAAAGAGAGGAGTTCGGCCACTGTTAATACCAAAACATAGATGCTTAAAGGGACTGAGCAAGTGCTGGGTCTGTGGCACAAAGGGCCCTTTAGCAGCCAGAGAACTTGGATGATAGACACTATTTACAGAATACAGCTTTGTAAAATGTCCAGTCTCCGCTTTGCTGTTGGTTTCACCATGAACATTGCAAGCAGCCTGCTGGAGCGGAGCAAGCACAGCCAAATCTGCACCTCTTACTGCCACATAACTCTTTTGAAAGAGTCAAAATTCAACCCCCAGGTATAGCAGCTGCACTGCTGGGTGTACTGGAATCATTTCTATGGGTCATCTTCATATGAACAATCATGTATCTTCTATTTCTCTACCAATACTAGGCCTGCTTCCTCTCCTGTTGTCATGAATTGGTGCTTCATCACTCAGTGTGAGCAGGCTCAGGATCTGAGTAATTCTGGTGCTATTTGAATAGCTTTATTCCTGTCTTTTTAAAACCAAAACTCTGGATAGTATTCTCCCTACCCCAAAATAACTTGCTTAATGCTGCAAAATATCAATAAGCTTAATCATGTGATATAATAGAAAAAGCACAACTCCTTGCCTCCTTTCACTCCCTGCTGCGTGTACAAGTTTACATACGTTTTTGCCCATGTGCCGTTGTCTAATTGCAGGGGCGCTCCTGTAATCCCAGTGGTGGGATGCGTATCTGACTGCTCCTGCTCGGATGTAGTTTTCAATGTAAAGGTACTGTGTCTCTGCTGATTTGACTGCCTGTCCTTTCTCCTATCCTTGCTGGCCTGGATGGAGATTACTAATGATTCTGGCTTTGAAAGATGGTTGCTTTTATCCTCTTGCTTGACTCTATTAAAAAACCACGTGATGCTACGGATGCCGTTGTTTTTTTGTGCCAGTGAAGGTTATAAATTGTCTCTGTCTAGAAGCCCAATGTATTTTGTATCTGAAAATATTTAAACATCCTGTGACTGGCTGTTGTCTGTATAGAACTGCAATATGCTTTGGGCACTGTTTTTTCTTCAACCTTTGCTTTTTTGTTACACAAATAATCACTCTGATTTGATTTGTACTTGCTGGGTATCTACTTGGCTCCAAGCCCAGAGAACTCCTAGGGAAGCTGGCGCTGCCTACCAAAATAGGAAGAACTGTTACAGACAAACACAATATTGGTGGGGTGATGATTAGCTGCTATTTAGAGCTGTGCTAGGAAGCGTTTCTACAACTCCAACAATTTGCTTCAACAACATGCATCTGCCTGAATCAGTTGCAAGGGGACTCTCTGAATTTAGTTTTCCCTTGAATGGGTAGAAACATCAAATAAAATGCAGCCCATGCAGAGTTATGCAAGAACAGTACAGTAACAGTACTACTGTACATGGAATGAGAGGACACAATATTAATAGACCTTATTCTCTGCTCCCAAGGACCAGAGGCATCTCCTTGGAAAACCTGACTCTGCTCCCCCATACCGACTACCCAATGAACGGTAGAGTACAGCAGTGGTATTTAATTCACCAGAATAGCCATAGAGTGGATATCTCATGCTATTCAAATAGATTCATGTGTCTTCAAATTGCTGCAGCCTCCGTGAATACTCCTGCAAGCACCAACAGTGTCCTGGCATGAGGCGCATAGTGCAATACTGCTAGACAGGATGGGATTGCATTGCCTGAGGGGACAGACAACTTGGAATTCATCCCATCAGCCGGTAGGGAGGTTGAAGGAGGGCTGGGGGGCTTAGGACGTGGTGAGATGGGACCAAGGTGATCAGATTATTGGAGCTCATCATTTTCAGAGGGACAGATTTGCAGGCGAGTACTCACAGATGGAACAATGAGTTGTCTAACAGTATGGGAGCTGGGCACCAAGCAAGAAGTGTTGTCCTGACTACATGATGTATGCCACCTGAGGAGAGTCAAGATTTAGGCTGCCAAATTTACCCTTGGTAGCCCTGCTTTTGGGCCCAGGGTTTGGTCTGCTCCTTGGTAGTGTCTCTTGCAGAAGACTTGTCTACACGGGGGAAGGTTAATCTGAATTAATTCTTGAAGTGGATTAGTTAAAGGGTATAAAATTCCTGCATAGACACTCTTATTCCAAGTTAAAGTCGCCTTAATTCAATTTACCTGACAATGCTTGACTACACTTTAAATTAACTAAAGTGCAACTTTTGTGAGTGTCTGTCCATAGAGAAGCCCTTTAGCTCAGCTTTGGGGTTGTGATTTTTTAAACTCTTCCTTTTTTTCTTTTATTTCTTTCCCTATCCCCTCCTTGGATTTCTTCCTCTCCCTTGCCAGCCTCTTGCTCTGAGCACTGCGTGGTGGAGATACAGCTCTAATGCCAGTACCTTTCAAATGATAGTGGCTGGATTATCTGAAGTCATTGACTTCAGCTTCTGCACCCAAGACTGACTTAACACCTTGTTATCCTTTAGCAAGCATTACAACAAGCCTCAGTCAAAAATGTCATGTAGCTGTAGTATTTTATTACTGTTATCTCCCACATTTTTTCACAGTATGATTTTTCAGGTCCTGCGAAAGAAAACCACCTGAGATAGGGACTATGGGAAGGCCTTTTGGTTCCAGGAAATGAAGAGTGTAGGTGTTCTTCATCAGACAGAAGCAAGGCATGGCGCTGTCCTATACTGTAAGTAATACAAGATTTGGCTTCTGCAGAAGAAGGACACAAGATGGTGGCAGGGGAGATGGTGCAACAGCCCTGGAAAATTGTCTTCTGTCCCCACAACAGGGACAGGATGGAAAGTGGGGTTGTGGGTTGCCTGTGTCGCTGCAGCAGAGGAGAAAGGGCCAACACTTTGAAACAGCTTAAATCTGCATGAAGGTTACATCCATTACATCCTGAGGTCCCTTCAGAGACTGTTAAGAAAGGGCTAGTTAGTGTCATAAGAAGACTTTGGGGGGGTTGTTTTAATACTAAATTTATTTGCATGTAGATTGAAAGACTCTCAAAGCCCATTTTACACGGACCACCAAACAGCTGCCATACCATGCCAACCTTGGGTCTTATCAATATGGGCTGCATTTGAACAGGCAATCAAGAGAAATGTGGTTTAGTGCTTCTTTACTAATCCCCCACAAGCCATCCAGTCCCATTACCTTCCAGTCTCCTCAATTTCTCATCATTATATTCTGGTTAAAGTCTGTCAGGCTGCATTAAAATAAGAGGCAGTCTGAGTTCAAGATGATAAAAAGGACTTGTCCCCGTGTAATAAAGGCCCTTGCTTTTAGTGAACTAAGACATAAAATGCCAGCTAAAAGCAGGCAGCTACAATCTTTCTTGGTTTAGCTCTGTTGAAATCAATTATAACAGGGATGAATTTGACCTGAAGTACTGAGGTACTTAACCTCTGGAAAAGTTAAAGTTTCTGCTCAGATGTGAATTCTCTGTGTGTAGTTCTATTTCCCGATCATTTATTTCCAGCCAGAAATCTAGCTTCACAGGACAATCCCGTGCCTCCCCGTCGACCCCAACTGAATTCAGTAACACATTCTGTGTCTGCAAATGGATGAACATTCCCCAACAGAGCAGTGCATTCCCTCAGGGTTTGTGTTACCGGAGGTTCTCCACGGGTGTCTACACGAGATGCTTTACTGCACAGTAGAGCTAATTACTACACAATGAGCATCTGCATCTATGCGAGCAGGTGCTTATTGCGCAGTAACTGGCTCTAATCACAAGTACATTTGTTATCTACAAATGCAAGTAGCAAATTTACTCGTGATTAGTAACTAAGCAGTAGTGCACATGTAAACTCCCTGACTGGGAGCAAATGTGCTGCCGGGCAGCAGGGAACAGGAGATTGCTCTCTGCCCCTGGGGTCTGCCAGCTGCCAGGATGCAGGAACAATGTCCCCTTGCCCCTGCAGTAGGGAGCTCCTAGCCCCTGCTCCACGATCATGGCGCCAGTGCTGGGAGATCCTTATCTCCCAGTGCCAGCCCTGTGATCCTGAAGCTAGCACTGGGAGAGAAGGATCCCCCAGCCCCGGTCCCCTGATTGATAAGGATCTCCCGGCCTGGGTCCTGCAACTGGAGGATTCAGGCTGGAAGATGAGGATCTTTCAGCCCGTTCCCAGATTGCAGAGCAAGGGCTGGGAGCTCTGTGTTAGTGGGGGCTGGAGAGCCTGTTCCCTGCCCAGCTCCATGATTGCAGAGGGCAGGGAGCAAGGTCTCTAGCCCCTGCCCAATGGTAGTGGAGCAGGGGCTGGGAACTGTCCTGGTTAGGTGCAGGTCCCAACCCCATGCCCCAATCAGGCAATTGAGGTGCAGGGCTTGGAAAGAGCTGCAGGTGTGGGGCAGGTCCCAGTTCCTTGCTCCATCCACCAGTGGGGCAGCTAGCAATAAGCCCCCAGCTGGGTGGGGAATCCCAGCCCAGTCAGGCTTGCTGGTAGCTGCCCCATGGGCAGATCAGCCCCTCCCCTGCAGCTCATTCCAAGTCCTCTGTCCCTGATCAGGGAGCCAGGGTTAGGAGGTCCCTGCTCCTGGGGCTTGGGAACATTGTCCCCACCGGGCTCCAGTGGCAGATCCTGTCCCCCAGGGGCAGGGAGCAATGTTCCAGCCCCTGCCAGGAAACAGCTGTCTCCTGAATCCCTGCTCCCTGCCAGTCCCTGGGCTAGCACCTAAGGGGAGCCTAGAGCTTCCTCTGGCTGATGCAGGGGGCCAACACAGGGCTTGCGAGTGGCAGTGGGAACAGATTGCTGGCATGAGCAGCAAATTGCTCCTGAGACCCTGCATGTGTAGACACCTGCCTGGGTCAGTTTACTTTAGAGTAAATTACTCTAGACTAAACTGATCCTGCATTATTTGCAAGTGTAGATATGCTCCATGAGTCACACACATTAAGACCTACCTATTTCAAGGTGCCTTTGAATAACTTGAACTGTTTTGAGTCCCTTCTGCTACCCTAGGGGTGAAGGTGGAGATGATCAATTATCCCCATTAGAAAATACAGCAAGTGGGGGATATAAATATAGAGTAAGTAGAACTTATTTTATGGTAAGCTGTTTCCCTGGTGCACCTGCAACTGCCTCTTTAGCCACTCCAAATATGAGTGGCAGACTGAAATACTTTTACTGTGATAGTTCTGGCTGCTAGTCCAGCAAGGCCTGCTTTAGCTGGAACAGAGAAGTTGTCTTATTTATTCCTTCCCTCCTTCTGCCTTGTATTTCAGTGCTTCTCATCAGACCATTGAGGTGAGAGCTTCCAGTCCGAGCAGCTCTGGTATTTCTACAGTAGTGGTGCTCAGTGTTTTTAGACTTAAGGCACCCCACTGGAAAATACCGACTCTTAGTTTTCACTCATTTTTTTGACTTTGGGAAAACAGAGCAATTTTTCTATTGCAAAGAAATCTGAAAGACTGCAACAGGTCAGAATGTTTTTAACACTGGATTTTTATTTGAAATCTCTGTGTTTACCATGTGAATCATGCCTTTGCACCTAATAGTACTAACATTGTATGGCACCCTTGGATCTCAAGGTAACGCAGGGTGACAAGGCACCTTGGTTGAGAATCACTGTTCTACAGCATATCCCAGCTGTTAAAAACCCCAAACGTATTTGCAGCAAGTTGCCCTTTGTACTTACATAGTTATGTGCATCTCTGTGTCATCCTAGGTGTTTTCCTTAATATGTCAACATAGTAGAAGTGTGTGAGGAAACCACAAACACTCAGTGATTTTTTAAAGCACTAATATTTAACTGAGTGCCCCTGTAATTTTAAAAAAAATTCCTAATTGACAGCTGGGACACTATGGAGTAACTCTTGATAAAACATCTGTAATAACAATATGCTATGCTTGTCTCTCCTTCCATGATATGTGTTACTACCTTCTAGCAAAAAAGATATCTCAGACCTAATAGATTCTGCATTATGGGGGTTACTGTCTCCTGACCAAGAGCAAACTGCAGTAATTACATCTTTAAGACAGAAAGAATTTCTCAGCAGTCTGAAAAAGCTATACACCTGGATTGGGGCTGCCTGAAAAAACACGCAACAAAATTTGACATGCACAGGCCTGTTACTCTACTGTGTGTGCCTGAAAGATTGCAGGGCAGCAAGAGACCAGGGCTCGTTCCTAGAGGCAAAGAGGGAGCCCAGGGCACAGCCCTGTGCCCTGATGGCAGGTTGTGTGTCTTCCATCATCTCTTTGCTGCACCTGCTGCTTCCTCTATTACACCCTCTCCTAGCCCCCTTCAATATGACTGCACAATCGAGAGAGAGGTCACAGGTCCAATAAAAGTTACCACGAAAAAACAAAACAATCCTAGTCTGCTTCTTAAAAGTTACCCTGATTTTGAGCAATGCTTGTGAAATTTGTTTCAAGGTCATCACTTGAAAAACTATTGATTGAAAGATATGGAAATGTGAACATTTGCTTTTTCTCACAAGAAATATTGGTAAGATGTCACAAAAGATCCAAATTCTTTCAGAAAAGAAATCGCCTGGAATAAAATTAAAAAGTACCTGTTGTGCAATTTTGGACTGAATGTTGAACATGTGATAATTTCACGGATTAGTGCCAGGGTGTATACACAAAAAGCAGAAGCAGGGCATGGTCTCTGGTACTGGCAGCAGCTCAAGTAGCTACTGCACAGAGATGCCCTCCATCATACTGATTCTCTGCCTCTCAGCTGAGCCTAAGCAGATTCTGGCTCTGCTTATATAAGGCTATTTCCACTTCTAGAGGCAGAGATACATATTTGAGTTTAGAGGCATAGGAAGTAAAGGCTGAAAATAACCTCCTGTGGCATTTGTGAAAGCTGCTAAATCAGCCCATGGTTTGGGAGGGGGGGACACAAAGCAGGCAGATACTGTCTCTTTAACCAGTGCTTCCTCAAGCCTTCCTCATTTCACCCTCATTCCAGTCCGCTTCCAAGTGCAGGCAGACAAGTGAGGTTAGCAAGGGAATCATTCTCCATTCAGTTTGGAAAAAGATGGTGAGAGCAGCCTTGGCAGAGTGGAGCTTTGGTCCCTGTCTGCTTCACACACTGATTCAGGATCCCTCTTTCCTCTTCTTCTGCCTCTCTCTCTCTCTAATTTGATAGATATAGGACAAATCCCTGTGCCGTGTGGATTAAATAGTATTGCTAGCCAGAATGTGCATGTGCACGTGTCTGCAAGTGCACATGCAGGAGCGGGGGTGGGAAGGTAGAAGTGAGAGGATGCTAAAGGCTTATGCTGAACCCTCAAAGGAAATGCAGAAGCTCCATGAAATGTCTCATCTTAGAAGCACAGCACACAAAAGCGTTCTCCAGGAAAGCACCAGCTGCAGCTGGATCACTCAAGCAGCATGCGAATGAAAAGCTTGCTGTGCCAACGTGCAGTGATGCAAGACAGATAAAAGGTGAAACTGAGAGCACGTGGAGGGCAAGACAGTGCCTGTGAGATAACCCAGGTCTGGGTAACGTGGGCAATGCACAGCTTCTGGAGAGAACTCAGTTCCACTTAACTCTATCGTGTGAGCTGCCTGCTTTTCTGCTAGCTTTGGTGCTATTTCATGTGAAATTGTTGGCTCCATATTTATTATCCCTTCCTCCCTGATTTACCTTTATCTTTCACTTTCACCAAGATCCACTTAACTCTTTCTATCTAACATTCTGTAGGCAGGTTTCCACTTCTCCAGCCTCACTGGTTTAGACAAGCTCCTTTGACATGTTATTAAAGAACCAGATTCTGTGGGGATATTCCTATTCTGATGAGTAAAATAAGGGCCTCCTAGTCATAGCCACCTAAGCCCTCATAATGAAATATATTTTACAACAGATTTAAACATCTAACCTAGTGATTCTTAACCTTTTTAGATGTAAGGCCCCCCTCAAAAAATGCCAGTTTTTAGTTCTAACCAATTTTTTTACTACAGAAAATAGAGTATTTTTGCTGTTGCAAAGAGATCAGAATGTTTTTAACACTATGGATTTCCATTTGAAATCTCTGGGTTTATCTTACAAATCATGTTTGCCACTGCACCCTGGTTGAGAATCACTGTCCTAACCCAGCAAAATCTAAATATGTCAGGATGAATTTAATATTAGGAACATCTGTCAGGCTTGCAGTAGTGTTACAGTGAATAGCATTTTGCATTTTGCAACAGTTGGGTGAAAGGGTCTTTCTTTGCTTCCAGTAGAAATCCCTTTGATAATCCAGGGGTTTAGAGCTAAGTCATGAAAAATGTTAGCCTGAGCAGAAACCCAGGGTAATAAATCTTCAATCTGGGAGAACCTTTTAAAACCACATTTCAAAATAAGCACAAAAAAAAATAATTTTTTTTTGACTTCTTGCATGATGTTAGGCTTGGAAAACCCTGTGTTGAATGTAGGCATACTTACCAGTAATCATGGTTACTAATTCCCTCTCCAGGAGAAAGTTTGAATGTGCTTTTGTACTTGTGATCAGGTTGCCCTCCAGTGGTTGGATTGCAAAGTAAAAAAAAATTCTAGTGTAAGCAGGAATTGCATCCAAGAACCTGCTAAAATATCATTAAACTGTGGCAAGGTCAAGCATTAAAATATTAAGTAATGCCAGATTTAGGGAACCCCATACAACTTGAATTTGGCTCCCTTGTACCTGTGCACTGTGAAACAGTTTTTAATGACATGATCACACAGTATTGTTTCCATAGGGCTTCTGGTTCATTCAGTGCACAGGATGGACAGGGATCAATTAACGAGCAGGTATTTAATATTTTGTGTTATCCTCATTGTTCAATTCCTATCCCATGACTATATTTACTTCACACCATCCACACCCAGCTCTAAATATATTATTATTCATTTATGCATGACTTTTCTGTGGCACTCATCACCATAGCATTTAAATGCTTCATAAATATTAATATATTTATTTTCACAGTGCTCTATCATATGAATGGGTGCTAGGAACTCTATTTCACACATGGGAACTGAAGCACAGAGAGAATAAAGTCAAAAGTGTCTGCTAATTTGGGGTGCTCATTTGAGATTCCAAGTGCCAGATTTTTCACAGTAATTACTCCTATGAAGCACTCTGTATCTTCAAAGTACAGCATCCAGTCAGTGCCAGTTGCCTTTGGTATTATCCCTTCTGACCTCAGCATTTCCAGCTGGATGCTGGAAAGGCAAAGACCGCGTCATTAGGGACCACCAGAATTAACTACCTGTAAAACGTTTGAGGTGAATGACTTGCCCAGCACCACAAAGAAAGCTGTGGCAGAAGCAGGGACAGAATCCATTTTCTCCAGAATGGTGTTCAAATGCATTAACTGTGGGGCCATCATCTTCCTTCCTACAGCCCTGTTCACTACCCTCTGTCCAGCTTCTGCAACAAATGAGCCAAGAGTCCCGAGACAATGGACACCTTCAAGATGTAGAGACAACTTAGTTCTGGTTTTTTTCTGACTTTTGAGTGTTCGACTTTGCAAACAATGTTCTTTTAACAAGTTTTTAAATGGAATTTATTACGTATTTACTAGGGGGAACTAACCCCGCCCCCAAATTAGACGTTCTGTTAAGTGGTATCAAAGTGACATCCAGACATCTCATTAGGAAGACTGGAATCTTTAAATCGAAGGCACAGATCACTGCCACTTGAGCAAATGGAGTAGCTTATTGTCCACTGTCACCTCCAGGTCCTTTTCTGTTGCTTAGGTAGTCAGCACCCAGCCTGTACCAGTGCATGGGATTGTTCTGTCCTAAGTGCAGGACGTCATCCTTGTCTTTATTGAACCTCATGAGATTTCTTTTGGTCCAATCCTCCAATTTGTCTAAGTTTCTCTGAATCCTAGGCCTACCCTCCAGTGTATCTCTATTACACCCCCCAGCTTGGTGTCATCTGCAGACTTGCTGAAGGTGCACTGCATCCCATCTTCCAGGCCATTGATTAAGAAATTGAACAAAACCAGCCCCAGGACTGACCCCTGGGGCAATCCAGACATCAAGCCATTAATTACTGCCCTCTGAGCCTAACGATTCAGCCAGTTTTCTCTCCACCTTAGAGTCCATGCACCTAGCCCGTACTTCCTTAGCTTGCCTGCGAGAATGTTGTGGGAGATGGTATCAAAGGCCTTGCTAAACTCAAGATGTATCGCATCACCTGCAGAGCCAGGCATCTCATCATAGAAGGCAATCATGTTGGTTAGGCATGACTTGCCCTTGTTGAATCCATGCTGATTGATCACCTTCTCCTCCAAGTGTTTCTAAATGGATTCCATGAGGATCTGCTCCATGATTTTTCCAGGGACTGAGGTGAGGCTGACGGGTCTGTAGTTCCCTGGATCCTCCTTTTTCCCTTTCTTAAATATGGGCACTGTGTAAACTCATGGTGATCAGGAGAGGCACCGGCTGATTGGAAAAGGGCAAACAGAGATGATGGCTGGTGGCTCTGCAATCACATCAACCAACTCCCTCAGCACCCTTGGGTATATCGCATCCAGCCCCATGGACTTGTACACGTCCAGCTTTTCTACACAGTCTCTAACCTGTTCTTTCACCACTGCTGGCTGTTCACCTCTGCAGACCATGCTGCCAGGTGCACTAGTCTGGGAGCTGACCTTGCCCATGAAGACCTTTTCTGCACCCTCTGTCACTACGCTGCCTCCCCTATTCAGTAAAGGACTTGCACTTTCCATGATCTTCCTCTTGTTGCTGACATAGTTATAGAAAGCCTTCATGTCCCCTGCTAGTCGCATCTCCAGTTGCGCTTTGGCCTTCCTGATTTCATCCCTGCATGCCATCTCGGTAGTGGAATGAAACTTAAATCCCTGGGAAAAAGCAAGCCCAGAAGTACAAGTACAAAAAATATTTAACCAACTTCTTTTTAAAATAAGTTTTTTTGCTCTACAGCGAGGAGCTGGATAACCTTCCTGCACTTGCAGAGGCCACATGAAAAACTGGGTGGCTTCACTGTGTCTGGAAATACTCTTCCTCCCAGTGACCCAGCAGACTGGTTCTGCTTATGGAGCTGTAGGCAGGTAGGCCGAGAGCCTGTGGGTTAGTTGATCTGCAGACTTTCGAAGGGAAAGAGAGGAATAGGTTGCTATTAGCAAGGCATCAAGGAATATCTCCCAAAACCATGGTATAGATTATTTCAAATGATTGTTGAAGTGCCTTAAAAAGATACAAAGAAAATAAATCTGCTAATAAATGATTAAAGAAAAACAAATGCCAATTGCTCTTGTCCAGTCTTGCTTCCTTTACTTAATGAGGCAACCCTTATTTCTATAGACGTTTTTAGTTGAGGTTCGGATTCAGGGAAGCTCTCGAGCACATGGTGGGCTCCGTATGATGCTCACATAAGTAGGGATATTTAAAGCATGGGTACGGGTTTGAGGATAGGGATCACCGTAAGGAAATTCAGAGGTGAGACCAAGTCTCAGGCTGGCAGTTTAAGGAGTACCATCTTTTTTAGTTTGGCTGTGCTGGTCTGTACGTGTGTTTTCCCTCCACGATAGCAGGAAGACAGAGAGGCTTTGGTAAGGGATCTAGAGTGATGGTCT